AATTAGTTAGTCTCTAAGGTGCCACAAGTACTCCTGTTCTTCTTTTTGCGGATACAGACTAACACGGCTGCTACTCTGAAACCTCCACTTCTGTTGATTTCCAAAAAAGAATGAAGGAATGCAGCACTCAAAATTGTGGATGTTGGCATGAGTGTGAGCTCACAATGCTTTCACTTGACAGCCTGAGAGGTCTGTAGTGGGTGAGGCAGAGCATGAAAAGCATACCTGAAACCCCGGCAAGGTGAAAGTCAACTAAAACATATGCAGATATAAACAATTGTATACAATGTATATCAGGTATGTTAAAGGTCTAGAAATGGCAACAAAGACTGTTAGTGGTAGAGCTGTGTGAACACTGAAGAACATTTTTTGCTTGCAAAAAGTGTAATTTGCTTTGTCTATGTTTGCATCTCTTTTGTGTTCATTTTCCATTAATATTATATCAAGTGAATTTACAAGCAGGAATGTATGCTTATCCTCGTTATCCGGATATGCCCTAGCTGATGGGTACAGACAGAGTTCTGGAAACCCATATCTCCTCCATCCCAATGTGGTGCACTCCTGGCAGCTTCCAAATGCTTTGTGCTTGGTGGAGGCATCTGCTACACTCTTAAAAAGTTGTGTTGTGTTGTGTTTCCAAATATTTCTTCCATATTACTCAGCTCCATTGGCTGGTAAGAGAGAGGCAGAGCTTTGCCTCCTCTCTTCTGCCCCTCCTCGTTCCCCATGAGGTTTCTTGCACCACTGTCAGTATTAGACTCCTGTGTTTTCTTGCTCACTAGGAATATAAGGAGGACCTAGATTGTGTCTACCCTGGGTTCAAAATATGCTCTTTCCAGCTCCCACCCGCATCCTTCTAACATCAGTGCAAGGTTAAATTCAATCAGGTCAAATGCATAAACTCCTGGGACCATAGATCTGTATTTGGCCTGGCTGTCATGGAACATAAATTTTTTAATGTGGTGCTATTTAGAGTCTCAGCTTTTGCTGTTGAGTTAGCAATACCTGATCAACTTTCCAACTGTAAAACAGTTTGGAAATCAAATATAGCTCACACTCAAGACCCAGCAAAATTAAAAGTGTTAAGTACGTTTTGGCAGTTCACTTTTATTATGCCCAGTCCTCAAATGTACCAGCAGACAATCATCTGAATGTTAGTTATTTTTCACATGCTTATGCGATCACACAAAAAGTACACGCTAAAAAGAAGCAGATGGTGACAGATGGGGAAGGTTGAATAAGGTGGTTTTGGAAACCTAGAGAAATGCACTTCTGTAATAGTGTAAAAATAAAAATTTATTTGATCGCCATGTTAGAACTAACAAAATAGAATTGCAAAAAATACTTGATTGTAAGAAAACAAATGAATTTATCAATATTCAGTTTGTATTTAGAAAAGTATATGCAACATTTTTATCTTATCCAAGAATAATATATATTTTTATTGGCCAAATATTTTAAAAAGTGCAAATTTTATTTTTATTCCTTTTATAGAGATCCATGTTTAAATTAATCTTTCATTTCTCACGTCAGGCATTTTCTTATAGTGCCTTTCTTTAACCTACTGGCTAGAGATATTGGTGGTGTGTTAGAATGAAAAAATATTTTATTTCAGGTATAACTGGAAAGATTGTATCCACTACATTGTAATACTAAATATGCATATGTGTATATATGTTTGTGTGGGCATCTGTGTAAAATATGTAAACTGTAAATTGTTTGTCAAACCAACAAAACCTTTGAAACTCAAAGCTAAAGCTGTCACAAATCAGCATTAACTCCTGTATAGCATAAGTGAACAAAATGGAATCAACAGCAATGACAATTTAGACCAGCTGAGGATCTACTCCAATATGTTTCATGTCCTTACATTTGTTTGGTAGGTCCATAACTTAAAATTTAAAATGCAGTCATTGATATTCATTTAATTTTAAAAACAAAGATTTTTCTTTGAGTGATGGTCCCTATATGTATTCCACATGTGGGTGTGCATGTGCCCCATGTGCCTAAACCCAGAGATTTTTAGTAAGCAGTGTCCGTTGGTCCATGCATGCGCAGTTCTGAGGGCAAGGGGGGGCAATGAGTCCTGGTGCCTCTCCAATTCCTTCTTACTGCCACATGGCCTGGGTCAGAATCTTCTGTGTCCACAGTTTCTTTTCCTTTGACTGCTTCAGTCTGTAAATACATTGTAAATAGTTTTAGTATTTTATTCTTTTAGTCTTAAGTATTAGTTAAGTGTCCCCACCCCTGCCCTGGGAAAATCCTCCCTGAAAGGCTACAATTATTTCCAGAGTTCTGGGGTCCAAGAATTGCATTTCCTGCCTTGCTCATTTTCAGTGAGCACCGAACACTAGTGCTGCTTTTATTCTCTAGGTGAGGCTCACATCTCAGCTAAGTGCAGCATTTGCTGCTCCTTCCCTCACAAAACCTGTGAGGGTTGAGAGCTAAGACGGATGGAAGAGGCTGAGAGACCTCAATGAGATCCGGGCTAGGGAGACCCCCTGTACATCAGCCTCAATCAGTAGGGAGCACCACTCTGAGCACTACCTCATGAGTTGAAACTAAGACTTCCAGGCCTCAGGAGAAGGCTTCTCATGAGAATAAGGGGTACTCTTACAAGCATAGAGACAAATCACCTTCTTCCAAAGCTGCCTTGAAGAAAAGAGATCCCTCCCCAACTCCTTCGAAGTCTGGAGAGTCCACGTGCAGGGATCCTAAAGATTTAGGCCCTAATTAACTTTTTCAGCAGGAGAAAGTGGAGTGAAGGAGCACATATCCGTCAGTTCCAGGTCTGGTTCTGATGTGCAAACTGAAATAAAAACATTCACTGCCACTCCCTTTGACATTCAGACGACACTCTGTGCTAGTATTGATATGGCCCCAGAGGGATCCAACTTCCTCTGTGACCAGAAAGCACTGGATGTGATGGCTCCACCAACTGACTCATGCTGTACCCCTGGGCAGTCTGAGACTGATGTCTCCCTGGAAGACATTTTTGTTCTACCATATCCCCTCTCCTGTCTCCTTTCAGGTCTGTCTTTATTTGGAGACATAGTTACTTCTTAGGAGGAAGTTATTTCAAGGACGTGGGGCCACTCTTGTCTCCCACCCACAAGCCTGAGTACCAAACCATTGGTACTGTCAGTTCCACAGGTACTTTGGGATCCAGCTTTTTCATTTAATGAGTCAGAGGTTCCAGAAGAGCTGCTATCCTATCATACAGAAACGGGCAGGACAGAAGCCCTCGGAGCTTGGGGCTCCATGCTCTGACCAGATATGATTTTCCAAGACACAGGTGGTACCCAGTGACGTGAGGTTGTCCTCAGCCAGTTGATCCGTCATATTGGTGTTATTGGGGCCCTTGGGATTCCTAGTCTATTCACCTGGGATCAGTACACGAGGCCAACACCAACCAGCCCCATCAGAGTAAGCTGAAGATGAAGTTGAACTGTAGTCAATGATTCTGGGAGCAATTTCATCATCTTCACCAGATGAGGTGGTAACCCCATCTTTACCATCTCTGCCTGATGACTACAGGAAATATCAGGAACTCCTACAAAGGTTGGTGTCTGAGCTCCAACATGCAGCTTGAAGAGGTTCAGGAGGCATAACATAGATTGCTGGACATCTTGCAAACCTCGGGTCCCAGTTGAATGGCCCTCCAGATCAATGAGGCCATGATGGATCCAGCTAGAACAGTGAGGCACACTCCTGCTTCTTGTGTTCCCACCCCTGATTAGGGCTGAGAAGTTCTACTTCATTCCATCTAAGGGGGCAGAGTTTCTTTCGACTGTCCATCTCTTTAGTGGCATAAGCAGCTATCTAAAGATCCAGGCTGCAACACCTAAAATTATACCCTCGGACAAGGGTGCCAAACAGCTTGACCTTACAGGAGGAAAGGTTTTCTTCTCCATCGCTTTCCAATTTAGAATTTCAAATTATCAGGCCCTTCTGGCTAAATACAACTTCACTAATTATGCAAAGTTGTTGAATTTTAAGGATCAGTTCCTTCAGGAAGATAGAGCTAACTTCCAGTCCTTAATTGATGAAGGCAAATTAATAGCTAAACCCTCTCTTTAGGCTGCAGTATATGCCACAGACTCTGCTTCCAGAGGAATGGCTAAACCATTGTCATGAGGAGAGATTCCTGGTTTCCCTAGAGAGGTGCAGAGTACCATTCAAGATCTGCCCTTTGGTACAGTTAACCTGTTGAGTGAACAGATGGATGAATCTCTCCACTCACTTGAGGACAACACTTTGTTCTCTGGGTATCTATGCCCTTGTCCCAAGGGGTGCAAAGCAAGACCACCTCCTCAACCCCTTTACCACCACCACTTCCACCACACAACGGAAGGTTCAGAGGCACAGGTACACAGTTCCTGCACCATCCACTGCCACACCTCACTCTACCCCACAACCAAAGAATTTCTTTTGATGAGACTGTCAAGACCCATGTCCCTTTATTAGTGCCATAATATCAGCCCCTCGATTTTTTTGAGGCCACTGTACCCAGTTTCCCCACAACTTGAGGGCTTTAACAACAGACAAATTGGTGTTGGAAATTATTCACTGCAGCTATCTGATTGAGTTTCTGTCAACCTGTACTCAAAAAGCTCTTCCCAGTTCCTTTTCAAGGACCAATCTCATGAGGAAATTCTTCAATAAGAAGATGACTTACTTCTCCTGGGGAACCATAGAAGAATTCCACCTGAGCATCAAGGGAAAGGATTCTACTCCCCACCCATCTTAGGCCAGGTCTACACTAACCCCCTAATTCGAACTAAGGTACGCAACTTCAGCTACGTGAATAACGTAGCTGAAGTTCGAAGTACCTTAGTTCGAACTTACCTCGGTCCACACGCGGCAGGCAGGCTCCCCCGTCGACTCCGCGGTACTCCTCTCACCGAGCTGGAGTACCACAGTCGACGGCGAGCACTTCCGGGTTCGACTTATCGCGTCCAGACAAGACGCGATAAGTCGAACCCAGAAGTTCGATCGCTCGCCGCCGAACTACCGGGTAAGTGTAGACAAAGCCTAAGTTCTCAAAAAGAGTGGAGGATGGGGACTGATTCTTGACCTATGCTGACTAAATATATTCATCTGAAAATTAAAATTCTGCATGAGGTTACATTGATGTCAATAATTGCCTCTCTGGAAGAGGTCACATGCTTTATGTCCCTGGCGTGAAAAATGCATAGTTTCACATAGTCAGTCACCTGACGAACAGAAGGTTCTTCAGGCTCCTCCTTCGTTAAGACCATTGCCAATTCGGTCCTTCCATTTGGGCTAGCTATGGAACCCCTGTGTCTTTACTAAAGTCTTTTCAGTGATGGCTGTTGAATGAGAAGTAATGGATTTACTGTCTTCCCACACCTCAACAACTGGCTTGTGATGGGCAGATTATACAAGGCAGTCCAGTTTGCAGCCTGATTCCTGCTTCGTCTACTACCTTCCCTGGGAATTTGTGTCAACTACAAAAAGTCCATTCTGACTTCTTTGAGGTCCATAAATTTCACAGGAGCGACCCTGCACTTGACTACAGCAAGATCCTGTCTTCCTATCAAGAGATTCCATGCCACGGGCGATCTCATAAAACAGGTCACCCTCAGACTTCAGTCAGAACTTGCCTTCCCTCCTTGACAGCATGACCTCATGCACACGTGACACCATTTGCCAGGATCCTTCTTCATTGCTTGCAAACCTGCCTTCAGTCTGCCTGCTCACCAGAAAAAATCAACATCAATGCCATAGTAATAATTTTGTTCAAGGTTCTGGCCTCTCTCATCTGGTGGACAAAGCCAGAAAAAGTTTGAGTAGGGACTTTTTTGCTCATGCCTACACCTGAGGTGACTGTCATTACCAAGGCCTCCCTCTTAGGTAGGGGAACTCATATGGACGATCATATTGTACAAAACCACTGGACCCCTTGGGAGTCCAGGATATATTGCCCTTTACTGGAACTAAGAGCTGTCTGTCAGGCCTGCAGCCAATCCCGGCATATCCAAATAATGTAAGGCAATATGACAACCTGTCTCCTATATAAACAAGCAAGGGAGAACAAGATCCCTTCCTTTGTGGGAGAGACAGCCAACCATTGGAATTGGTGTTTCAGACATCATATAATCCTTTCTGCAGCATAATTACCAGGAGTGCAGAACTCCCCAGCAGACATTTTTTCATGGACTACAAGTGGGAGATTCACAATTTGGTTCTGAATAAGGCTTTTAATCAGTGGGGAATGCTGTCTTGGGACCTTTTTGCCTCTCAGGCAAACAAAAAGTGTCTCCTGTACGGCTCCAGAGCAGCTCTAGACAGGGGCTCAAAGTGAGATGCCCTTATGCTACCATGGAAGGATCATCTCAGGTATGCCTTCCCTCTCATCTCATTAATACCACAGGTTCTGTAGAAAATCTATCAAAACAGGGCTTGGGTCATCCTTGTTATGTCCAGCTAGCTGACATGGTTCTGGAACAGGGAACAAGTGAGACTTTCAAACCGTATGCCCGTCAACATCTGACCATTTCCGGACCTGCTAACACAACACAATTCCACTATCAAGCATCTCAGTCCAGAGCCACTGCAACTCAAGGCGTGGTATTTTGATGGTGTAGACTTCTTCTTTCATATGGCTTGGGTAGGTAGCAACAATTACAAATTTATATCTGGATTTGATAGCCAGTACATTGCCACAGCAGTGAGCTGGTGAATGTCCTTCAAGCCTCCGGCAAAAGAACGAAGGGAACACTCAGATATGATGTGCTCCATCGTTTGTGCCTGGTGACCACAGTTGCATACAGGTGTTTGGCTAATTTTCCATTTAAAGAGGGTTTGTCACATCTCCTATGAGATGTACTGATACAATTCAATCTGCACCAGTCTTTCCAACATAAATCAAAATTCGGTGGTTCCTTGACAGGGTCAACCAAGCTGTTTTGTTTTGAGTGGTCGAAACGCTCCATGTGGCTCTCCATTGAGCCTCAGCATTGTAGTTCAGTATAAGGGTCTTGATGCAGTTCCATAGAGATTTGTGGGATTTTAATCTTATCTTTGGGGGGGTTCTGTAGGTCATTGGGCAACGGGATCCTCATGTTTGCATTGACATGGTTGAGAAAATGAGATGTCTGGGTAGCTCTTCTAATCTGTGGAGGCTGGATGTGTGATAGGACTGGGAGGCAGTTGACCGGAGCCAATTTGAGTATCCCTGACACTATGCGCGTGGCGTTATTTAGTTGAGTATCAAGGAGGTTAGTGTGACTGCTGTGAGATGATGCTGGCACACAGTATTCAGCCGCAGAATATACTAAGGCAATTGTTGTGGTTCGTAAGGTCCGTGGACTGGAACCCCATGATGGTCTGGCCAATTTCCTAATAAGCATGACACAAGAACTCACCTTATCATGGTTGTTCTCGAGGTGTTGAAAGGTTACATTCTGCTCCAGTGCAACACCAAGATACTCACCACAGAACTGTACAATCAGATGTAGAGGATTCATATTTCAGGGCAGTTCAATCCATCCTCAACCAAAGCAGGAAGGATTCTACCAGGAGATGATATTCAGTTAAGTGGAAGTGTTTATCCTTTTGGGCACAACAAGGCCAGGTACCTTCAGAGTCCACTGTGATCCCTGCCATTCTAGAAAATCTATTTACTCGTAAGACCCTCACTGTTATTTCCCTGCGGGCTCACTGAGTAGCAATTAATGCTTTTCATCCCCTGCATCAATGACCACATCAGCTTCACTCATCTCAGGATGACTAGATTCCTGAAGGGTCTTATTAGATCCTTTCCACCATTCTTTCATGTCTCACCAAACCTCCCTTTGAATCTTTAGCTGCATGTTCTATATTCATTTCACGATTAAAGTTGTCTTCCTAATCATCATCGCATCAGCCAGATGGGTCAGTAAGCTGGGAACAGTCATGGCAGACCGACTATATATTACATTCCATAAAGGTCTCCCTTTGCTGCCTCCTGAAATTCATCCCTGTAGCAATTTCAGAATTTCACAGAAGTCACACCATCCACTTACTGATAGTTTTTTCCAAAACCACATGCCTCTGATGAGGTGAGAAGGCTTCATTATCTAGTTGTCTGAAGAGCAGTGGCCTTTTATCCGCAAAGAACAAAAGCAGTTAGAAAGACACTTAGACTTTTTTTTGTCATAGCAGAGAAATCGAGGTCAAGCTATGTCTGTTCAGAGACTTTCTAAATGAATCTCTGGCTACATTATCCTATGTTACCAACTGGTTCACCTGAGATGGTGAGAGCCCATTCCATCAGAGCAAAAACAACCTTGCTGCGTGCATCTCTGAGAGATATACCTGTATTAGAGATATGTAGGGCAGCTACCTGAAGCTGCTTAGGCACCTTCACAAGACGTTATGCTTTGGTCTAATCTTCTACTACAGATACAATTGTGGGGATAGCAGTATTACAGTCAGCCATCACTTCTGCATCCTCGCTTCCACCTCCTGTTGACTCTTGCTTGCTAATCTCCCATGTGTGGAATAAATATAGAGACCATCGCTCAATGAAAAAATTGAGATTACTTACTTGTAACTGGTGGTTCTTTGAGATGTGCAGTCCCTATCTGTTTTCCACTACCCGCTCTCCATTCCCTCTGTTGCAACTTATAACTGGATTCACGGTAGGGGAAGAAACTGGAGAAGCACTGGTCCACACTGCCCCTTGTGCCTGGGTTCAAAACAAAAGGAGAACAACTGGGCATATGCAAACCAACAAATGCTGCTTACCTAAAATCTCTGGTCTTAGGTGCATGATGGTCATGTGTACCAATGTGGGGAACAGAAATGGACCACACATCTTGAAGAACCTCCAGTTACAGGTTACTAACCTCCATTTCTACCTCATTTATTACAAAACTTGCCTGGATGCGGTATATTTGATCTCATAAACCAAGCAAAATCTAGACTAATGAGTACCTGAATAGGAAACCGCCAAGAAAAACTCAGGAAACTATAGAAAATGGCATTAGTGATTCAGTTGAATGACACCCTTCATATTATTCTGAATCCATACTGAACCACTGCCCTATCATGGTGGTTGGGAGCACTTTGCTGTTAGGTGGTAATTTCTGGATGACACCAAAAACTCCAAGTTCTGATCACTTGTCATCAATGATCTCATGGAATTTTCACAAGCATAGAGGTGTTGGCCCTGTTGTCTTGGACAAACTGAAATTTAGTTAACTGTATTCTGCTTACCTACATTTTGCTTCAATTTACATTGATTTTTAAAATTTATTTTTTCCTAATTTAAATACATTCCATACTATGTAGGTCTCCCAAGGTACTAACATGCATAATCTGGTCACAATACATATAAGAACACAATAATAGTTGCTAATCACTTTACAGCAAAATTTTAAGCTGCAAAGTTATTTTTCACTTTGAAGCATGTGAAAATAGAAAAAATTCCATTTTTCCTTGAAATTTTGTACTTGTGAAATTTCAAGCAAGTCTCCTTTTCCCCCCTTTCTGTTATAGTTTGTTATAGTATTGTGGACATTGGTCTTTCTCATGCACCTACCTGAGTCATAAAATGAATGCTAATAATTTAAGGGCCAGCATTTTTGTCAGCTTAGCATTAAACTAAGGGGCCTTGAGGTCAATGTGATGAAATTTAGGCAAGGCAGGATACACAGATCAGTAACATCACTTATTTGCAAACAGCAGCAGCAAGATCAAAAGGTCACGCAGCGTTGACATGAGAAAATATTTGTACATTTGAACACTCACAACAGCACCTACAAGAGTAGAAGAAGAGTTATTCACAGCTTTCTCCCTAGGCCAGATACGAGTGTTCTAATGTAAGTACTTCTGAATCTTCATGCAGTCTGGCTAATCTCACCAGACATGCAGCCTAATTGTCCACAACCAGTGTCAGACATCTTTCCTCTTAAAGATGTAACGAATATGCTAAAAACATCCAAAAATAAAAAACAAAAGTAGAAGACATTTCAGTTCCACATTCTGTCTATAACTATCTTGTACACCCAGTACTTCAAAGTAGGGATCAGTTTTCTAATATAAACCACATTTTTGTCGAAAACAATTAAATATGACAGTTTCCTATAAAATTAAGATAAGCTTTTATGAATGTAATGTTCTTTTAATTAATTTAGTTCATCAGTACTGGCAATGTCTTTTATCATCTGGGTACAACTTTCAATAGGTTCCATGTGATAATGCAAATGTAAGTGTGTCCTCCACCAACAGTCCTTAGTTTTTCTGAGAACTACAAGGTAAAAGCCCAAAATATCTCTCTCTCCTTTTTGTTTGTTTGTTTGTTTGTTTGTTTGTTTTTTTAAGACACTGGCCAAGGTGCTACATCTTCTCAACAAGAATGGTGAATTACTCAGGAAAAATAATCTTGCAGAAGTATCTGTATTCATTATTTCTCCAGCTTGTCTTGCATCTCATAGATGGAAGTGTGTGTTATTAAGACTCCAAATAGGGCTATAAATCGCTCAATTTTCCTAATCTGGGAATAGCTAATGATATCAAACTGAAGGAGGAATCATAGGTTCTGTGGATCTGAAGCCTCCAGTAACCATTTGCACAGTCACCCCAGCTGAGAGATATCCATGAAGATTATTTTGTAATCCTACAATACGAATGTTTCTCCCTCTTACTTTATTATCCATTGTCTCCATATTAGCTCTGAGGATTTGATTTTTCTTGAGTAGGCAAACCCTGCTGTTGCAGTACTGTGGTCTTTTACTGGGGAAAAAAAAATTCTGTGTAATTTCCTAACATTATTCACCTTTTTTAATCTGTTGCAGTTATTGTTTCTTGTAGGGAGTTGCATGTTTAGGTTGGTATCTCATTGTTTTTTTGCTCTGACAGGGGTTTTTAAACTCATGTAAGAGCACAGTAAGTTCTTACTGTGACAGTTGTTGAAAAAGCTCCATGTCTTTTAATGGATGAAAAATGAAAAGTTTGCTGTTTTACAGTAGCCAGTTTATTCTGTGTTATTAAGTATTTTAAGATATCGTAACGAGAGGGAGGGAGAAAAGAGGAACTTTACTCCTAAAAGTGAATAGGAAAAACTCCTGAGCAGGACTGCCAAATCATGTGAGGGGAAATGCCTGAGGAAACTGGCTAAATGGGGAAAAATGGCTCCTCTCCTACTGAGATCCCACATACCCATCTCTCAGTTTGGCAAGAACTCTGGAGAAGTCTCTATCAACTCCTCAGGCCAAAGATAAAGTCGATATTCAATTTTTTCAAACTACAAAGTTGGGAGATTTATCATTCTTTGGATACAATTAAACTCACAGAACTCATAATTTGATTGACACTACCAACCAGCATGTGGGCAGTCAGACCTACTGGTCTGAGCAGGAGTTGGGATTCAGACTGAGTCAGATACCAGGAGGAGGTCAGAGTCCGAGACAGGCCAGTGAGCAGATTGAGAATCAGTCATCTGGGGGCAGGCAGAGCCAGGATATTGGGAGGTCAGAGTCTGAAACAGGCCAGAGGGCAAACCGAGAGTCAGGCATCAGGCAGGGTCAGGTTACCAAGAGATCGAGATCAGGCTCCAGGTTACAGACAATCGAATAACACAATCGAGGACAAACCAGGATCAGATGCCAGAATCTAGGGTCTATCGCAAGCAGAGATGGGCAGGCAGTGTATGTTGTTGTTAAGGCAGCTCCATTCCTGGGTTCCTGGTTTAAGTACTAGTACCAGCCAATCAGTGGGTTGTGAGGGGCTGCCACTCAGGTCCTGTTGGGTGGTACTGCCTGTTGAGCCCAGCCTCACAGGTCCTCCTGTGGTGATGCAGAGAGAGATGTTAGTGGCCCACAACCCCCATGGTCCCAGGTTCTATCCCTGCAGGTTCTATCAGACACCACCACAACTTTCTGTATGTGTGACTTTCTTACTTTATTTAAGTGGTAGGTGTCTGAGACTGTTTTATAAAATAGTTATCACCACTGTTGATCAGAGCTTTAAATTATATGCTTTCTCGTTGCTGCAACAGTTGCCACAATTCATACAAAGTTATAACAAATATATTTTTAACTTTTATTGAAAAATATATGGGTGGTGAATATTTGCTAACAGACCAACAACTGAAGTGATAAGAATGTGTGAAGTGTTAGTAGAAATTATTAGGTGCATACTATTCACCTGAACTGTAAGGTTAATTGAAAACAGTTTTTTCACCCTGAATTAACTGTAAATTGGTGTATCCAAGTTCTCAGTTTTCTTTCACAACATAGGTGTGCAGACAGTTTGTTTAGTTGTTTTAATCTTTTCCCATCTGTTCTGTCAGAATTGATTGAGCAATAAGATATGTCAGGGTCTGCATTGTCTTATAATGCATATCTCTAGAGAGTTGAGAGGGACTGTGAGTAGAGTGAATGACAGAGGTGTTCAGCACCCCAAGAAGTCTTCTTTTATGACATTAATGATTAATGCACACAACAGTGTGAAAGTGATTTTTCTGTTGCCTTTAAAAAATAAATCATCTTATGAACAACAGTTTGTAAGAGACTGACAATGGGATGTAGAGTCTTTCATTCTCATGGTCACAGGAGTGTTTGTCTTAGATTAGCAGAGTTAAAAAAAATTAAAATCATCAGATTGCTTTTTGGTACCGTATGGTAAATACACTATGGATTGCATGAGCTTGTCTCCTATAATCAGGAAGAAGACTTTGAGAAGCCAGTAGGGGCTTGAATCTCTCAAGAAGCAGTAGCAACAACACTACATTAATCAGTGCTTACTAGTTGTGTGCGGATATATGCTCCTTTCTATGAAGGGTGCCTTCAGACCCTTTTCTGGTTCATAATTTCCATGCCAGGGCAGTAGCAAGGGTTTTTGGAAAACTGTAAAGCAGTGTCCCATAACATAGTCAGTCACTACTGTAAATGGCTGATAGCATTTGTCTTAAAACTCCACTCGGTTAGCAGATGGTGAACTCACTAAAACCATTAAATACATTTGATCGACTCACTATTGCAGCTGGATAGAGAAAAGGTGAGAATGGTTTTCTAGAGATTGATGGCCTCGGGTGTGGACTGTGTTTAATGATATATTTACTGTCGAAAATGATAAAAGTATAACTATGGCGCAATTTATTTTTTCTTGAATTTTTGCTTTAAAAAGTCATTTTATGTATCAGATATCTGAGTCAGATCTGAAATATAGCTGCCTACTTATTTAAATAAATTTTGTTAGCTGGTACTGGTATTTTGCTGTATCTATATAATAACATAATTAGGTTTGTTAGCCTTTTAAGCACAGTGAAAATTGAAGTTCTTATGCAAATCAACAGCTTAACCCTGTTTGAAATTACAATACTGTCCAGTGTCCATAAAACATCTGTAAGAGCTCATAAGTAACTGCATATTCTTGAAGCAAATATTTTGTTGTTGGATATACCTGTAGGGCATTCCCTTGCTGTGGGGATGGACGCCTCTCTCATTCCAGACATCTTTTTCTGGCATCACTGTAGCCCTGATTTGAAGTGCCAAGTGCAATCCTTAAACTGTATGTCTTATGAAGCCCTTCTAGGCGTACCTGCAGTTCTAAATGAAAAAGGCAAATAAAATAATCCTGCAGCCCACAAAACCGTCTGGGCTAACTCCACTGTTCCTCACAAGACTGAAGAGAAATGGTCTCTGTGGGGGGCGATTGGGTTCCTAACCCCCTGTGTGTCTGGGGGGAGTCTGGGCTATGCACCCTGGGCTCTAAAAAAAACAAACAAATAATGCTTTCTTCCCCCCCCAAAAGTAAAGATGGTCCCCTTCATCTCTTCAGGGGATCCAGGCAGCAGAGGTTCTTCAGGATCTATTCTGGTAAGCAGCCCTGCTTTGTGGGGCCTAGGAGTTCAAGCTCTGCTTCTCTCTGAATGCCACCCCACACTGGGCTTGGATTCTACCATATAAGGAGCTGCCCCTCTCCAGGTTTGACAGTCCTCACAGGAGCACCAGTTTGGTGCTGATTGTGCGCAGAATAGCTCTTTAATCGCTTCCTTACTGGGTGGGAACCTGGGGTCCACCATAGTACGCCTTAGCAGTATTTGTGCAGGTTCTTGTTAAAGCACATGTGCAACCCATACTATGCCCTGTGTTAGATACAAATAAGACTATACATTTTAGAGTCATTCCAGAGTCTGTTAACGTTTAATAATCATCACAATTTAATCGTAAATTTAATTTACGGCCACTTTAAGGCCTTCATGAGGATCAGACTGATAATCTTCTAGTCAAATTCAAATGGCTCTTACTGCTATCAAGACATACAGGAGTAGGTAAGCAACCCAACATAATCTTTAAGTTGTGACCCATGGTAACAAATGACAGGCATGCTCCCTCATTTAAGGAAGCCCATAATATCTCATTTCTTGAGTCTTTCCACAGCCCACAGTTTTATCCAAGTTGACCCTCAGTCAGCTTGCTTCTCCATCAAACACTAGGTAAGTAAGCCAGCTACAATGACTTGATATGATGTAGTAGAGCTTGCTGTCTTCTGCATACTGAAATCACACACACTGTAGCTCACTGATCTTCTAGAAGGCTCTTATGCCCTTTGAACAGGAGGTGTAAAAGACAAAAGTGTACTTGAATGACTTGTTTAGCTTGAGTAGTGTACACTTCGTTTAGGGGAGGGAGGTACCAAGCATATGACTTAAATAGGCACCCTGATTCAAGAAAATGCAGCTGTTCAGTATATATTCAGCATAGTCATCATTTCTATATTTTCTTTCTGTTTCTTTGCAATTCTGTGCTGTACTCATGAACAATCTTAAAATACTTTTCTTATGACATTTGTAAACTACTTAACTTTTTGTCATGCTCCTTTAAGCTTTACAGGCAGTGCAACTCTAAAAGGTGTGTATAACCAATTGAGCTGAAGCATTCCTGATCTTAAGATGCATACAATTAAAAAAAAAAGATTTAAGAATTGGTTGAAGATACTGTAGCATTAGGAGAAAATACTTACATAAACACTCACTCTTGTACATATACACTTAATATAGATTTGATCCTAAGAGGTATTGAGCACTAACCAGTGCCATTAACTTTCCACATTCTGTAAATTCTGAAAAATTCTTAAGATAGAATTGTGCACATAATATTTCTGATGTAAAGAAAAAAATTAATTTCATGTGTTTTTACTATGACTTAATTTTATATGTTATTAAATTTATATTATAAACTGACACACATTTTCCATAATTTTACATTATTTTTTTATTGCTCTTTTTCCTAAACTAAAACCTTTGAATGCACTTGCTTCTCTGGTTGGCTGTAAACCAGGTATTTAAACAAAAATAAAGGGTTGCCAGTTTTGCCAGCTGGGGATGAGAACCCGGCTGGTAATATGCGGGTTCGCGAGGCAGTTAATCCAGTTTTTATGCTTATTTATTATTTTATGTAAAAAGAAGTTAAAAATCACATTTGGCTCTTTCTTTGTACTACTGTTTTGTTGCTGTTGTGGGAATGCAGCAAAAGATTGCTCATACTTTTTATTATTATTAGGTAAAGCCCCACATATAGTACATTCCAGCTATTGGCCATGTGATAATGCCTTGTTCAGAAAATGAAAGTTTTTTTTTCTCCATTGCCATTTTCTAACTCATACATTCAGTCCACACCTCATCTTATGTGAAGTATAGGTACCATTGTGTCATTGTTTTATTTATTTTGCTGTCATTACAAGAAAAATGCTAACAGTAGAAATGACCGCATATGTGAAAAATTTACCTTTCCTCTAAGTTAGAGAAAATGGTGATTAAAAGATTCTAAACATCACAAATTGATATTCAGTTTTTCAGCGAATCGCTTGCTACAGTCTCCTACTCATACAATATTTAATCTTAAAAAGCAGAAGTAATTTTAGTTCATTTGGTCACATGTATGTATACAGGAAATTAGTTTAATTTTACACTCTCCAAAATCTCACCTTTTACTTGAAAATATCAAATTCTGATATAATAAAGAGTATCTGATGAGTCTCTGTGTTTTGGCATAAGTAAATATAATTGATGTATAAATAGCATGAGTTAAAACTTACTATTCTTGATCTTAGTTATATATATGCCCTTAGTAATATACATTTTCACATACTACTAATCTTTAATGATAGTGAAGACTAAGTATTCGAGTGTATACATTGACACGGGGCCATTGGAATTGCCATACTGACCCAGACCAGTGGTTCACCTGGTCTGTGTTTTGTCTCTTACTGTGGCCCGTATCAAATGCTTCAGAGGAAGGTGCAAGAAGCTCTGTTAGAAGACAGTTACGGAATAACCTGGTCATAGGAAGAAACTTTTCCTTAACTTTCAAAGGTTAGATTGCCTGGTGCCCTAAAGTATGAGGGTTTATTTCACTTAGGATGTTTTTAAAAGGAAAAAAAAATCAGGACTAGTATACATCTGGATATTCTCATTATCCATATAGGTCCTCTTCTTTTTTGAATTCTGCTAAGCTCTTGGCCTCGGTGATCATTTGTGGCTTGTATGAAATACTATTCTTCTTCAAGTGATTGCTCATGTCAATTCGAATAGGTGTGTGTGCGTGCTGTGTGCAAGACTGTCTGAAATTTTTACCCTAGCAGTACCTGTGGGGTCGGCTGTGGAGCCCACTGGAGTGGCGCCTTTGTGGTGGTGTATATAGGTCCCTACCAACCCGGCACCTGCTCAGTTCCTTCTTACCGCCACTGACCGTCGTTGGAGCATCTGGTCTCTTGCTTTAGCAAGTGCTTCCTAGTGGTTTTCCCTGTATTTGGTCTGTACATGCTTCTGACGAAGTGGGTATTCACCCACGAAAGCTTATGCTCCAATACATCTGTTAGTCTTAAAGGTGCCACAGGACTCTCTGTTGCTTTGTATATGGTTGTTATCCTTCACTATCTTAGTTAGTCAGTTTAAGGTGGGGGTCCCCCCCAAAAAATATTTTCCCCTGTCGCCGGGGCATGCCGCAGCCCCAGGGGTTCAAGTCGTGCCTTAGGTGTGGTAAGCCTATTCCAAGAGCGGATCCGCAAGCCGCATGTCTGAAGTGCCTGGGAGAGGGTCATTTGTAAGACAAGTGCACCATCTGCAGAGGCTTTAAGCCCAGAACTAAGAGGGGGGAGAGACTATTGCCTCAAGCTCCTCTTGATGGAGTCCACTCTCTGGCCCCAACTGACTCAAGAGCCGGCACCGGCAGCCTCAGTTCACAGCGCACCGGCCTCGGGACATCTCAGCACCGAGGGAAGACCCGCATAAGGAGCATCAGTCCTCTCCCCTGTGCGGAAGGCCGGCTCATCGGTGTGGCACCAATCACAATCCCCAGTGCTGCATAAGAAGAAGAAGGCGGAACAAGGCCGCTCCCCTGTCAAGAAGAGCGGACAGGACTCCAGTGTAGTGCATCCCACATTGGGACATCAGAAGGCTGGTCCGTCGGTCCCGACATTGTTGACTCCAGCCTTGAAGGGTGGAGGAGAGGATCTGTTGAGTCTGGTGTGGGTGGACTTTCCAGTCTGGGAAGTGTTGGAGGAGGACCTGGACCACCTCTCCACACCAGACACGTTTGAGGCCGTGCGGGACTTAATTGTCATGATGGCACCATTCCCGGCCTCCTATTTCCATGCACAGGATCAGGTGCAGGCAGCGCAAGAACCCGCTGCTGCACCACTTCCGGCACTGGCAGCATCGGTGGTCTCCATTGCTCGTGCCCCTCCTTCTGCGACGTCTGTTGTCCCAGATCAGACTGGGCTCCCGAGGACCTACCATGGGGTTCAGACCCCGGGCCTCCTGCATCGAGTGCCAGGTCAGAGACGCCAACGATGGCGGTTCCCGTACCACCAGTAGCAGCAACGATGGATGTCTGTGAGCAAGTCACCAGGGAACCGGAGGGGCAGGAAGACCCCGTCCCACATTGAGCCTCGTCTTCTTCCTCACCCAATGAGGCAGTGGCGGGCACTACCACGTCCCTTCCAGCGATGGACATGAAAGCCCACCAGGACCTCCTTAGGAGGGTGGCCCAGAACCTCAACATGGCAATGGAGGAGGGGGTGGAAGACTCGGACCCTATGGTGGACATACTCGTCCTGGAGGGTTCCTCCAAGGTGGCACTGCCACTTATAAAAAAACATTCAGAACACCACGAAGGTGCTCTGGCAAACCCCAGGCTCTATACCACCTACAGCCAGGGGAGGAGAGCAGCATTACTTTGTCCCTCAGAAGGGGTACGAGCACTTCTTCACCCACCCCCCACCCGAGACCTTGGTAGTGGACGCAGCAAACCACAAAGAGCAGCAGGGGCAGTTGGGGCCTGCCCCTAAGAATAAAGACGCTAAAAAGCTGGACCTCTTTGGTCGAAAGGTGTACTTGACTGGGGGGTTCCAGCTTCGAATTTCCAACCAGCAGGCGGTATTTAGTGGCTATGCGTACAACTCTTGGAATGCCCTCTCTAAATTTCAGGAGCTGCTTCCGTCAGAATCCCGACAGGAATTTGCTGCAGTCCTGGAAGAGGGCAGGGTGGTGGCTAGAACCTTCCTCCAGGCTGCTCTGCACTCCGCCGACTCGTCAGCGTG